ATATTAAAAAGGCTTTCTTGGATGTAACAGGAATGTCACATCTAGTTTGATAAAAAGACATTTTTGGGAACTTCCAGTAAACTTTAAAAAACGTAACAATGTAGCGCTGTAATATCACTGGAACGTCTACATTGTTTCATCAAAAAAGTAAACGTTCCTACCCTAGGCTTAGACGGTTAAGTGTCCGTCCCATAGATGAAAACAAGAGGATAAACAAAAGTTACAATATAACATTGTGCTATATAGGTTTTATTAATTAAACCTTTTTATGCATAGTGGGATGATAACCATCAACAGGTTTTCAAAGAGAAACCAATGGTGTTAGTACAGTATGTGTGCAAGAATTAGGTACATACCTAAAAATATAGTAGGGGAGAACCGTGATGTCTGGGCCAGAGGTATTTGTGAGCCACAAGTGAAAAAAAACACCTTTAAACCGCTTTATATGCAACCAATTATGTATTATACCATTGAACTGGTTGCCTACTCTAGTCAAACGGGTTTTGGCGCCAGTTGCCAGTTCGTCTTGTGTTCACCTTGTTGTTTCTTACAGTAAAAAGTAAAAAAATAATAAGTTAATCATTTTATTTTTAACGAAAAATTACCGAAGTTACGGATTGTGTTTATACCAGGTAAGATTACCTAATATATTGAACATGTATTGCTTGTAGGTTAGATTCCTTTAAACATAACCCAAGTTTTTTAACAAGGCTTATCCCGCGTAGGTAATAGAAGGGATGATTGGGTCAGCGCAGAAGAGGTATGGTTGGGCCAATATTTTTGTGTCCCAAACATACCTCTATCTCCAGTTAATATAATTTACCTCAGTACCCATCATATTCAATCATGCAAAATACATCGTCAAGTTATATTTAGGTAGATTCATCATGCCAACAGTATACAAAAAGAAAAACATGGAAAATTTAAAACGAAAACCTAGAGAAAATCTGCCATTAGAAGTTACAAGCAGCTTACAATGAAGTGCTTCAACGCCAAAAAAGTGGAACGTCTATAAGGGCCATCGCAAAAAAATACAATTTCCCCAAAACAACATTATCAAGATTCAAAAAAATTCCTTTAAGTAACAGTTTCTCTTCTTTTTTTTGTCAGTAGGCAAATATTTACGCAAGAAGAGGACAGCGTTGTGTGATTATTTTATAAAAGCTGGCAACATGCATTATGGGCTGACCATGAAGCAAACTAAAGAGTTAGCCTACCGATACGCCGTTGCAAATCGGAAAACTATTTCAGATATTTGGAAGAATAACTGTTGTGCTACCAAAGACTGGCTTGTTAGATTTCTGAATAGAAATAGGAAATCTTCTTTGAGAAAACCGGAGGCCACTAGCCTCTCTCGTTCAACCAGTTTTAATAAAAGGAATGTTGGCGATTTTTTTTAGCAATCTTAGAGATTGATATGAGAGATACCAATTTTCTCCATCATCTGTGTATAATGTTGATGAAACGGGTGTTACCACCGTGCAAGTTCCGGGGAAAATTTTGGCGGAGAAGGCTAAAAAGCAAATTGGTAAGGTAACTTCAGGTGAAAGAGGAGTCCTGGTAACCTTATGTTGTGTCATTAATGCGATTGGCAATTCTCTGTCTCCTTTTTTTGTATTTTTACGCAAAAACTTCAATGATTTTATGTTGACAAATGTCCCAACTGGTTCAGGTGGTGCAGCAAATATATCAGGTTGGATGAATGCTAAAATATTTTTGGACTATATAAAGCATTTTGCCAAACCATCTTTGGAATCCCCAGTTTTATTGATTTTTGACAACCATGAGAGCCATATCTCAATTGATGTAATTAATTTTGCAAAGAAGCATGGAATAGTTCTTTTGGCACTGCTGCCACACTGCAGTAACGAGCTACAGCACTTGATGCAGTGGATTCTCCATTTAGGCGATATTATAATGGGGAAATAGACAACAGGCTGGTTAATTACCCTGAAATACCAATATATCAAGGTTCACAACTAATGTCAGAAAATTATTCACCTGCATTTAGTCCAACATAGAAAGTGCCTTTGCAAAAACTGGAATATTTCCATTTAAGCCCGATATTTTCGAAGTCAGATTTTCTGTGATCTGCTGTTACTGACAGAGATGATCCGAACGACAATAGTATCTTGGTATAAGAGTCTTTAGAAACTGTCGCCGAGAAGTCCAGACGAACCTGGACCATCATCGAGTATTCAACCTTATATTTCTCCAGAGTATATTCAACCCTACCCAAAAGCTTTGCCCCGTAAAAGAAAACAAGAGTTATTAGAAACTGCCACCAAAAAACCAGAAGAACCTGGGCCATCATCGAGTATTCAACCTTTTGTTTCTCCAGAGTGTATTGGACTTTACCCAAACGCTTTGCCCCGTAAAATAAAACAAGTTGGTCGTACGCCAGACAGAACAGGGATATTAACCGACACTCCGGAAAAAACAGTAATTGAAGAGGCATGGAAAAATTAGATTGACAAACAAAAAAAGATTAAAATTACAATAAATCTGACAAATATTAACATTCCTACTTTGAGTAAGAAAAGAACATAATTGAAGAGTCCGAGTAAGAATCTGAAACCAACATGAGTGATATCTGCGCGAGGAAAGTGATGATTCCCCATTTACAGAAGAAGAGAAAGAAGAGGACCCCAATGATCGAGAATTTAATTAAAATGATTATGCTCTTGTGAAATTTGTTACAGAAACCAACGCAACTGTTTGTTTTCATAGGACTTGTAATTGAGAAGTTTTCTCAAATTTATACGGTGAAATTTTTCAGAAGACATGGAATTTCGAATAAATTAATATCCCTTTAATCGACAACATTCAAGACGTTTCTGCAGATGATATTATAAAAAAAAATGAAATCGCCAATAGAAGTTTGTGGAAAAAAAGGTGCTGGTAATGGGTACACTTTTAATATCCTGGTGAAGATGCTTATTATTTGCGTTAATAAGGTCTAATAGATATCTATGTTTTCTTTTCCGAAAATGTATTATAAAATATATCCATTTCTAATTATTTCTATTATTTTAATTATATACCTATTCAGTGGCCCAAACATGGCTCCTAGTGGGAGGCTTGGGACATTTTGCACAATCTTAAAAAAATACTTTTTTCATATGATTTCATTGCAATGAAAAAAGATAATATGTAGACATAGTTTGCTAATAGACTATTTATCAGGCCTATATCGATTTTTTCGTAAAAAAGAAAATGAACCAAGCATCCCGGTTCTCCCCTACAGGTATTACAAACTGAGACGTCTCCAAATACATAAAACAGAGTAGCTGCTACCGATAAACCCTCAATAAGTAAAAGAGGTAGGAAAAGGAGCTTATAGAACTTCACCTAGCTTAAGTTAAAAAATTGTTAATTGAGGCTAGTAATATTATGTGGAAAATGCTTGTTATGTGGTAGATATCTAAAAGCTTCCTCATGTTGGTTGCTCTGAACAGGGCCGCCGAGAGCCATGTGGGGCCTCGGGACATTTTTATAAAAAAAGAAAGAAAAAGGTCCTCAAGCAAAAAATCAGATCCTTTCTTAGTGAAATCTAAGAAGAACTCCTCACCTTGTATTTTGGTATTCTCTTTTGTGGCGAACTTCTAAATAAAATGTCCTCACTTAAAGCTGCCGGGCCCCTGGAATTTCTCCCCCCTGTCCCCCTCTCGTCGGGCCTGGCTCTGAAGTTGGCAAGCTATGCCGATTGATGGGATTCAATTTCCCCAAAGAGGAGTAAGCAAATCGGAGCCTATTGATCAAACCCGAATATGGCCAATTCATTAGTGGGTCTAAGTAAAGAGTAAAAATAGATTCAATCGCTGCCAGTGGATAACAGCGAGTGGCATCTTGCAGGTCTAGGGTGCAATCGAGACAAAGGAAAATCAGGCGTTTGTAATGTACGTTGGCCCAATTCGATAGTGGATAATACAATGGAAAACGAGAGGCACACTAATTCCCTCGACCCAGGAATATGTATGGTTGCTCCAAATAATGGACTTCCAGAAGAAGTATTATTACTGGAAAATCGTTCAATTGCAATTTTGTGTTTAAATACCTATCACAAGTTTTTAATTGGAAAAACGTGTTCTACACGTCAGAGGATGGAACAGATGTGTTCTTTTATACAGCGCTATATCCAGCACTTATAGCAAACTGTTCGTAAATTAAGCAATGGAAAGACCTCAGACAGCACACCAAATCCTTTGGATATCTACTGGACATCCCAATATCCACTGAATGTCCAGTCTATGGTGGATATATATTTTATATCCATGAGATGTAATTTGTAGACATGCAAATGTCCATAAAAAAAAGGAAATATCCCATCTTGATCTTACAAATCAGAAATTCTTCATTAAGATTGGCCTTTTACAACATAACCCGTTTAGTACCCTTTTGTGTAACATGATTACCATGTTTCAGAAACATTTTCAGTGAAATATTTAACTAAAATATTTCATAAATATTTTAAAATATTTCAGAAATGTTTCAGAAACTTGTGCTTGAAATGTTATATGTTTGAAACGTTTGAAATATGTCTGAAACACTTCTGAAATAATGTGTGCTGTATATGGGTTTCTCAGCTCTCAGCAATTTATAATTTCATAACCATTATCAATATATCGATGTGTAAAATATCGATGTTTAGTTCCGATATACATACATCGAAAAATATCGTGCATATCTATGCCCAGTATCATCGATCTTTATCCACGCACAATTATCCACATACGAGGTCGGCTACGGCCGTATATGTATTTTTTGCTCCACTTTACCCTGTTCTGCACCAGTTCAGTTTCAATTGAATTTAATTTCCTTCATATTACTACTAACAGCCTCTTACCATGTTTTTCTTAATATCTAACTTCTTCCTTTAACATTTTTATCATTCATACCCTGTCGATTTTCTAGTGGCGTGTGATCATCTCGCATCTTCTCTGTTTTATTAAATTTTTAAATAATATATTTAATGAAATTAAAATATAAACAATAATTTAGTTCAACATTTGTTATTATTTTATAGCACATCTTAAACCATCTGGACTAACTGCCATGTAACAAAATATACCTCTCCCTGGTATTTGCTTGGTAGAAATGTATGCCCTTCCATCTGGTGATTTATGATATAAAATTGGAGATATTGGCCCTACTCTTGGAAGATACGGAATCTACAATAAAATAAACTGGTATTTTAAGGTTTATCTACCCAATCCATTTTATAGGTTAGGCCTGTTTAGAAAATTATTCTTAGTTTTAAAATATCATAGTTTTTGATCTTAGCAATTTTTTTTTAATTTCCTACCTGTTTCACCATGAGGTTTCCAAGACATTCTGGCAAACTGCATAAATTTTCATCTGGTGGAGGCGTTATAAAAGGACCATGTAAAAATTTATGCCTTACTTGTATTCTTAAGAACTGTATATATTCATTTTTTAATCTGGCAGATTCTAGGTCATCATCAGATAAACCAGCCAATTTTCTACACCATTCTACACATCTTACCCTATCTGAAAAGATTAGACAAAAATACCATCTCTTCGATATAATATATACTCAAATAACACCAATTTAATTAAAAATGCGACCCTATAACAATTTGTCTAAAACATCATTTTTAGTGAATATCAAAAATTAATTAGTAGTTCCTACCTATAATCTTTGGATAAAAAATACATATAATTTACTGTAATCATAAGTAAAGATATTTTTTAATATTGAAAGATTTCATAATTTGAATAATATATTTTATTTCTACCCTCCATTAGAGCTTGCCCAAATAAAGATTTTTTTTCTCAGGATTAACAGTTTCTGCCTACAGAATATTTTGGAGAACAAATAAGTGAATACATAGTTGATAAAAAACATTACCAAATGGACTATCTAATTGATGTGCATGAGAGGCAATATCTTTTAAAGCATTTTTAAACTCTTCTGAATCTTGAGTACCCATTTATGTAATTTCATTTAAAAATATTTATTATTTACTAGAATTTTGGTAATTCTTAATTGTCACATTTAGACATAAATACAGGGTGGGCCAACGAAAACTTTACACTCTGATTTTCCGGCTTTAAAATGAAAATCGGGAAAAAAGCTCGAACCCGTCAATTTTATATTTAAGGGGGAACAACTTACTTGGTTTTTATTCATCTAACTTCAACTCTTTAACAGGGGGAAGCACAACCCCCTGATTTTGAATAGGGGCGAGGGGTGTTGCAATACCTCATTTTACAAATCTCATCGAGTACTATCTGACCCTAAAACTTCGCGTCAAAATTTTAATCTATAACAGCTAAAACAATGAAAAAGACAATGTGGAAAAAATGTCTACTTAATAACAAATGCTGGAAATGGAAACCATTCACTTCCATGCAGTAAAATAAGTTTTGTTCAAAACGTTCCCGTACATTACGCAACATGTCGGATGTAATTTGAAGACATTCATTCAGGGGCGGTTTCTCCATTGGATCATTTGTGCAGTGAACACCCAGTTAAATTTCATAAAAACACATCATTTTAATATTACATAAATAACATGAAAATATAAATTTAATATTTTTATTTTCATACGTGTTAATCTATATTTTTTTGTACATTATTGTCCTCTGGCTGGTCGCGGCTCTGTGTCACAGTATATCTAAGTATACTGTGTATGTGGCGCATTATGATAAGTGAGCCTAACACGAGTGAGATGATACGCTGAATGTATATAGCTAGAAAGAGAAGAAAAGATGCCAACAGATCCTTCAAACTGTCAAAGAACACACTAATTGGCGCGCCGCTCATAAACAAAGTTGCCACACCAGTACAATGAACTGGAGGGGGGTAGAATGCCAATGTACATGTTGTACTATTAGAACAAGGTGCGACTCGATGGGCGCAGCCATTTTTATTGTTCATCTCACTCGGGACTATTTATAATAACCATTTTCTGTTTCACATTGTTATTGTTCAATCCACAAGCTGGTGGATCAGACAATAACAATGTGAAATAGAAAATGGCTATTTTCAATACTCCCGAGTGAGATAAAAAATAACCTATCTTCGCCCATAGAGTCGCACATCAAGTCTATTGACAAGCATTCTACCCCACTCCAGTTCATTGCACCAGTGTTGCCAGTCTAGTACAATTCACAATTGTACTAGATGTAGTACTTTCTGCGTGCATCAGTGTTCACGTGTAAACTATATTTATGTATTGTGTTCCTTGTTTGGGTTCGTTATCAATAAAGACCCCCTTTTTCCTCTTTAATTAATTTAGCTGTCACTGCAAATAGAATTCGAAAAATCTGGTACATTTAAGGAATCTGGTACATAACAAAAACATATTCTGGCAACACTGTACCAAATCAAGCAAACTGTCACTGTCATTAGTGTCATCCCATTCCTCTGCTGTCAAATACGTTAAATAAAAACAATTATTTTAATTGTACGTAGTTAGACATGGGTAACGCACTAAAATTCTTTGCGTTGATACACTAACTCCGGCGCATTCTATTGCGCCAACTCATTGCGTTAACGCAATTGCGTTATTGCGTCACACCACTGCCTGCGCCGAATGAAGTCGATGCACCTCGGTGTATATTTTAGAAGTTGGACATTTTACCAATGAGTATATAGTAGTAGACAACATTATAAAAAGTCATGGACACGATATGCCGCGGTTGCCTCCTTATTATTGCATTTTTAATCCCATAGAATTATTATGGGCTCAATTAAAAAAAGATATTCGTGATAACAGTATTACTCCAAAATCAAGTGAGAATGTTATTAATTTAATAAAACATGCATTTAATAAAATTACTAATGTACATTGGGCGAACGTGATTAATAATGTTATTGCTATTTGAGAATAAATATTTAATAAGGACTCCACAAAGATTCATCATTAACGAGCTAAAAGTAGTGACAGTGATTTTAGTGAAAATGACAATTAACAGCGGTAATCCTAAAAATCAGAGTTTTTGTATAAATAATTTTATTTTATTTTATTTAAAGCTAAAAAATTAAACGTCTATTTTGGTACTTGTAAACTTGTCTAAAATTACTTGCCCCTAGTGCTAATCCTGAAACACTATTTACAGTAACGATGGATAGTCCTTCTTTAATTATAATTTGTCACGTAATAAATAATGTTAAAAAAACATTTTTGTCCATTTTCATTACACACATTGCTCATGCCGACCCTGTCTATAGTGTGATTTGGGAATTCCAATTCTTATAATTTGTAACGAAACTATACAAGATTTGTATAAATATGAAGTGGAGATTTGGTTGGTTAGTTAGTTGTTGAATATAGAATTATAGTCTGGAGTTAGAGTTAATAGTTACCCAGACAACACATCAAATATATCCAAAGAATATCTTTTGTGGATATCCAATATATCCACAGGATATCATAGATATCCCGTGAATCTAATATGGATATCCAAATGTCCGCCTATATTCAGGATATAGAAGATATCTAGCAAAATATCTAATGGATATCTCCCAGACAATACACGAAATCCCAGAGATATCCACAGAATATCTTTTGTGGATATCCAATATATCTACAGGATATCATAGATATCCAGTGGATCTAATATGGATATCCAAATGTCCGTCTATATCCAGGGTACCTTTAGTAGAGGTTCATATGTAACCAATGGATATATCCTATAGATGTTTAACATATCCAGTGTACATCCATTATTTGATATATTTAAGATATCGAAAATTGTACGCCTATGGGGTGTCGTATTTAATGCCTCATTAAATTAAAGTGGAACAATCTACTGCATGATCTAAAAACATTCCATATGAAAAAAATCAGCATTTCAGTAGCATAACATCGGAACGCCCTGTATTTTAAATTTGATATATACACCCATACCAAGTTTACTATTCTAGTGTTAACTATTTTTGATGCTACACAGCATAGGTATAGCATGTAGAGTAGAAAGAGTCTCAACATTTTATTTTTACAATCAAATAGTGTACACCATACCTAAAAAACACCAAAATATCATTGAATATGTGAAGTAAGTTTTAAGGAGGTCCTTTCGCCACCCCTTTCGCCACCAATTTTAAATAAAAAATATTAGATTATGAGTAAAATTTATTTTTTTTTTAATAGTTGAAGTCCTTATTTATCTAATGTTGAACTTTTAACTATACCTTACCGTGCAAATTTTTGAGAATTTTTTTTTAAAAATGTGAGTATTTGTACAGTGTCTTACGAGAAAATAAGTCCTCAACAACAATTCTCGAATTATATTATTATTTATTGATTAGATGCGGAGTAGAAAAAAACTAAAAATAGGGTTTTTGAAATATTTAGGTTTTGTTTTTTACAATAAAATATATAGGTTTGAAGTAACCTAGTTGAAATTTTTTTGTGATTTTTAAATATTAATTTCTCAATAAATTCCACGGTAACCTATATATTTTATTGTAAAAAACAAAACCTAAATATTTCAAAAACCTTATTTTTAGTTTTTTTCTACTCCATCTAATCAATAAATAATAGTAAAATTAATTATAATTCGAAAATTGTTGTTGAAGTCTTACTTTCTCGTAAGACACTGTACAAACACACACATTTTTAAAAAAAAATCTCAAAAATTTGCACGGTAAGGTATAGTTAAAAGTTCACTATTAGATAAATAAGGACTTCTACTATTAGAAAAAAATTAATGTTAGTCATAATCTAATATTTTTTATTTAACATTGGTGGCGAAAGGACCTCCTTAAATTGAATGCAACGCGCGAGTTATCTAACATAATCTTATTCTTTATTGTTGTTATGTTAAGTATAGTTAGGTAAAACAAAGACAAATATTATGAGCAGGCTAAATATATTTAAAAATAGTAAACTATAGTACAAACATACTATTATATTAAATAACATATTAAATTTAAGTTAACGAATGAACATAGTACCAGCAGCCAAGGAAAACAATCACACACACACACACACACACACACACACACACACACACACACACACACACACACACACACACACACACACACACACACACACACACACACACACACACACACACACACACACACACACACACACACACACACACACACACACACACACACACACACACACACACACACACACACACACACACACACACACACACACACACACACACACACACACACACACACACACACACACACACACACACACACACACACACACACACACACACACACACACACACACACACACACACACACACACACACACACACACACACACACACACACACACACACACACACACACACACACACACACACACACACACACACACACACACACACACACACACACACACACACACACACACACACACACACACACACACACACACACACACACACACACACACACACACACACACACACACACACACACACACACACACACACACACACACACACACACACACACACACACACACACACACACACACACACACACACACACACACACACACACACACACACACACACACACACACACACACACACACACACACACACACACACACACACACACACACACACACACACACACACACACACACACACACACACATTATATACTGGCGCCGCAGTTTCTACTTGAATTATCTTACTGAAAAAAAAAAAGACGCTCTGTTGTAGAATTCCTCAAAAAATGAACCTATATTTTAAATCAAGCTATACCCAAAACGAAAATGAAGTCTGAAAAAAGCCTTTTGTGTAGAGTGTCACTTATACAATATATAACACTAATAATTTAAAAGGGCTAGCTTTGTGTATATATAATACTTATTTATACAAACTGTTGGTCCATCTAAACATAACCTAACCTTACTTGTTAAATTATTCATGCATGCTATTGAATACAAGGCAGATGTAATAAGATTACCTTAACCAGTGAAAAAAACCTCTTTCTAATTAATTATGACAAACATTAAACAATAAAAAACAAACCGAAACAATAATAATCACACGAAATAAATAAGTATATGAAGGTAGGTAAAGTAAC